TTCAACATGTCAGTGTCCGTCAAGGTTGATTACTCCGTGTTGAAACAGGTCAGTGCCCGTCAAGGTTGATTACTCCGTGTTTCAACAGGTTGGTGTCCGTCAAGGTTGATTACTCCGTGTTTCAACATGTCAGTGTCCGTCAAGGTTGATTACTCCGTGTTGCAACAGGTCAGTGCCCGTCAAGGTTGATTACTCCGTGTTCAACAGGTTGGTGTCCGTCAAGGTAGATTACTCCTTGTTTCAACAGGTTGGTGTCCATCAAGGTAGATTACTCCGTGTTCAACAGGTTGGTGTCCGTCAAGGTAGATTACTCCGTGTTCAACAGGTTGGTGTCCGTCAAGGTAGATTACTCCGTGTTTCAACAGGTTGGTATCCATCAAGGTAGATTACTCCGTGTTTCAACAGGTTGGTGTCCATCAAGGTTGATTACTCCGTGTTTCGACAGGTTGGTGTCCGTCAAGGTTGATTACTCCGTGTTCAACATGTCAGTGTCCGTCAAGGTTGATTACTCCGTGTTCAACAGGTTGGTGTCCATCAAGGTAGATTACTCCGTGTTTCAACAGGTTGGTGTCCGTCAAGGTTGATTACTCCGTGTTTCAACAGGTTGGTGTCCATCAAGGTAGATTACTCCGTGTTTCAACAGGTTGGTGTCCATCAAGGTTGATTACTCCGTGTTCAACATGTCAGTGTCCGTCAAGGTAGATTACTCCGTGTTGCAACAGGTTGGTGTCCGTCAAGGTTGATTACTCCGTGTTTCAACAGGTTGGTGTCCGTCAAGGTCGATTACTTATTGCCGAAAGCCACGTAAAACCAGGCCCCCTCAATCCCTGCATGAGGAAGCAGTGACGTGCCAAAATACATGTTTATTCCTAATATAGGAATATGTACATCCCAAAACTCTATCGGCGGAAGAAATATCCTCATCGCTTACAACTCTACCTAAACATTGCAAGTTTTCCTGGAAGGTGCGCATTAATATTACGTCACAAGATCAGTTATTGGTCAACCAATATAGTTCCAAATGAAAGTAGTCCGACTGAAACAACCATATATATAGGCAAAAGACAATTGTCTAGACATATGCCAGTAACGCCTTTCGCGACAATCCGTGCTTCCTGGAGTAATTGCTCTTTGCCTTTGTGTAGACTCTGGCTGACCTGTCATAACGCTACGAAATTCAGTCGGATGTCTGCACAACGACAAAATGAAACAAGGTAAAATACTTAGGCCACACCCAACTGCTGTAAATCTGGAAAAGGCCTCAAGCCGCAGACGTCAGCAAACACAGATAATGAAACTGACTACTTATCCCGCTAGCGTCTTCGAACATTGCTTTGCAATTTCTGTTTCCAAAGTTGCCTCCACTTGTAAATGCTTCAGATACGTGCTTGTCAGACAAGTCAAACTTGGGCTTGTTCGGTATCTTAGACTGTAAGTTTTAATTATGCTCCTAATTATGCCAATAGGCTGAACTCCGATGGCCAATTGTGACTCGATCGACGATAGACAAGGGCGTACCTACCTGACCTTATATATTTGTCTATTAATCCGTAAACAGCCACAACGAACACATCTTTTACCCGTTGGTTTTATCCTGCCGAGTAACCTACATAAAATAAATGTAGATACGTAATAGCACGTAAAATGCACATCAACTGCAAGATTTGAATGTTTTATAAAACTGAACAACTTGAATAACTTGTGCCTGTTTGCCAAAACTGACAAACCCCCCCCCCCCCACCGCCACCCACATACTCACTGCCGGTAGCTGTTCCACGTGGCGTATGAAATACAGCATAAATAAGAGTATATTTCAAATTATTATTCTCTATTGTAGGTTTCCTTTCTGTCTTTTATCTTTCAGTGTCTCATAAGCCGTTTAAAAGCAGGACGCATTGTATTTCCTGTTTCGTATGTTATGTTTATTTTACATGTACAAGTGCGTATGACACGTTAATAAACAATTTACTACTACTACTACTACTACTACTACTGTAGTTCTTACACGCCCGCATTTTAAACGCTGCACTAACGCTACGATAATCAGCCACCAGTCGTTCTGAATTTGCACAGGCGATATAGCTCCCATGAGAAAATATTAACCTGGGCAGATAGATGAATCAACAAGATCGTCTGTTGATAACGTCCAGATTACAATATTGATGATCAATGTTCTTAATGGTTAAAACAAATTACAATCAAGCATGTTTCAAGACGACAGATGTTGGTCCGGGCCCTTTTATCCTGCTACCCTGATTGTACACACAAACGCTCAACATGTAAATAACGGTTGATCTCATAAATTAATGAATAATGAAGTGAGATATCACGTTCCATATCTGATAAAGGACACACGTGAACACGTGACGTAGGATGGTGACATGAGATACCAAGAACATAATGCTGACAGAGGTCAGATCACAGGAGTGAGTGGGTTGGATTTAACGCCGCTTTTAACAGTAGTCCAGTCATATCACGGCGTGTCAGCTTAATGTGGGAGGAAAGCCCGAAGTGATGCAGGTCTAAGACGTTTATCACATCGATGAAACCCACGAGCACGGGTATGGTGCTGACAAACCTAGAAACATAATCGGGGCGAACCGGGATTCGAACCCACAATTATAGATTTCTGGTGTGCCCAAGAGACGCAACTCTGCAGTGCGAATCACGGCGCCTTAGTCGACTGGGCCACCCGTGCCCCCTCAGATCACAGGAAGGTCGGTTCAAGACAAAACTCGCCCGTGGGGATTCGGGAGTAGAATTGTTCCGAGTAACCACAGGCTAATGGGAATAGACTAATGAGTATCGGGTGGCTATACCATGTAACCATGGTGATTGTATGTCATTGTATCTCGGCCGTTTGGGTTTATGTTCTTCGCATCAACCACTGATGAAGCTGGTTGAGGCGCCTGCACAATTCATCCACTCACTCACTTAATCCAGGAGTGATCGATCTTTGTATAGGTTACACTACGTCTACCGCCTCAGTGGTCTAGTGGTTGAGCGTCGACCCCTAGCCGCGTCACACCTAAGACTAGTACAAGCAGCCCCCCCCCCCCCCCCCCCCCCCACCCCACCCCACCCCCAACCCCCACCCCACCCACCCACACACACACACACACACACACACACACACCTTATACTATGTCTTGTTTGATAGTTCTAATATTTGGAATATATTTCATACAAAATTCCTCGTGGGTTTTGTACACGTACACAATGTCGGGATGGGCGGTGACATATTGCTTGACGGGTGATCATGAGAGGTTCGACAAGGAGGAAGTCAGTTCGCATAAGGAAAATTTTGATGAAGAATTCAGCTCCAACATTTAAACTTCCTGCTCCACTGAACGGCCCGACTGTCCTGTGTGGTGTTGCCAGTGCAGGTGCATGATATACAAACTCTGACTGCACTCTAATCAGATAACATTACACAAGGGAGAGAGGCACATTTGCACTGCCTTTGTCAGTCGAGTATATCAGTCTTATCGCCATGGGAAAAGCTGTATCATTCTGGCGCGTCTGGCGGTAAAACAGAATTATTCGGAGTACTCCTCCGCGTATATAAACAATGGACCCCCGCATGACCTTTGTGCGTCCTATGTACAGGTAATATCAGGTGTGCGTTGACCCCCAGCCAACTACCTATCCGTGCACCTATATCCCCCCGCCCCCTTGTCTATCTCCCTCCCGTCCCTCTGTTTATGCTGAGGACACGGCAACTCCGGGTCACCGACAGAGACGGTTGTGTTTGAGCGATGCGTTTTGCGCTCTTGTTTTGTTATCGGAAACATGATGGGTCTCCGATTGTGTTTGAATACATATGCTCTGTTTCGTTGACAGATTCTCATTGTTGACGCATTGTAATCGTGACGTCATTTGAACTGTTGACGCATCAGGATAGTGTTCACCTCAGTCCGACGTAGCTATATAAGCTCATTATATTTTTATTTTAATTGCATTTGTGTACAATCTGTTGACTAAACTACTGTCAAATGCCTGCGATTTTCGAAAATAAGGCGTTTTCGTTGCCGCTCTTGTTGACAACCACGCTTTTGTCAGATTGGGCATCCTAAAGACAGCTGAACACAAACGGTTTAGCGGGTGTCACAATTCACTGCGCAGAGTTGCATCCCTTTGATAATTGGTTCTTTCTGAGCATGCCCCTTGCTTTGTCAGTACCTTGCCCTGAGTGTGGGTTTCTAGACTGACATTTAGTCTCTGAAATCTTATATTACACAATATCCTTCTTGACTCTAGAGTTGGCTAGACTGGCTTTTGTATGCGTTTCTAGATATATAATTTTTCATAAAATAAATATATTCCACGGTCATGGTGCAGGCCTAGTGGGTTTAATAAAAGTGCCAAATGTCTGAGACCTCCAACACTTTTTAATAATTGGAAACAGTGAATGCCTCCAGTCTAAAAGCAGAGATTTCCTTTTTCTAGAAAAAAAACTATCGTGGGGAGAAACATTTTTGTTGAAGTCATTTACAGTGTAAAAACTGAGACTTGCACAGTCTCTAAGGCCATAATTATTATTTTAAGAAATAATTTCTAGATTATGTGAATAATATGAACAAGTTGTCCCTATCAGAGACTGGAGTCCTGTACTGTCCACACATCTAGACTTGCCTATTAGGAGGATAGATTTACAACATATCTATATACTAACCTCTCAGTACAGCCTTGGAGCAAGGCTACCGAATGTGTTATTTTCATGAAAAAAAACTAACGGTTGAGCATCACAGGATCGCGTTGACACTTTTGATAGTATGGTCGCACAAATGCAATTCGGGGTTGAAAAATACCTCAGTGTATCAAGAATACTTACACTGAATTGAGTTGCGTTTGAGAAGAATTCGTCTGTATTATGGCATCTAATGTGTTAATCATATGTCACGTTGCCTATGGCTGCAAGCTATATATTTACGCTAGATTTATTCGGCATGGTTTAATTTGCAGAACGATTCTGGCTCCGGATGCATTCGACAAAACGCAACATTGCATTCAACAGGTAATGGAGCGCGCTGTGTCGTGGGATGACCCTGTATTCACAGGAAGGTGCAACATATTCACACAACGCTGTAACCTTAGATCACCGTCGGTATTATCGACACCCATAATACCACTGTAACTCGGTTCCGCCTCAGTGACCCAGACCACTGAACCGAGAACAGTTCAACACGACCCTTTCCTGGGTAACATCTGCCTGTCAGACCAGCGGGCTGGCTCGCCGCGACACACTCTCTACACCTGTATCTTCACTACAGGTAACACAGGTGAGTGGAAATCGGATACATTATTATCTGGTGTCGTTTAACAATGTCCAGACGTGTCTGTCTCTAGTAGACGACATGAATCTGGATAGACGTTATGTCGAACTAACTCCCTGCTGTATGAACGTGCGGAGTGACATGTTGTATACGAGCCATGTACAGCTGCTACCTGAATATAGGTCTTACGCTGCATATAACTGGATTGTATAGGTATGTGGTTACATACACAATAGTCCCGTGGAGAGATATAATCGCGGACCAATTTAGGCGTAAGAGATGTTAAAGTTAATATCGAGAACATTCTTTGGTATACAAATCACTGCACGAATGTCCTGAAGCTCTAATGCCTGTTGATAGAAGTATATATACATGTCGAATAAATCTGTATTATTTGCCTATGGAAATCCCTTTTTATTGAATGCGTTTGTTTATTGGAATACATATATTGTGTACAGGGGAGTGTTATCGTTGCGGTAGTATGTTTATGACGCCCTGTATATAAGTAAGTACAAACAGGTGCGTCAAGCATACAGAGACGGCAGTGTGTGTACATGCGAATTACGGTCAGCATAAAGCAGATCGGTTTTTCATACCGACCCTGTGACATTTTGTATTAACAAGATCCACTCATCTGACATATAGTGTTTCGTGAAATAGGTTGCGTAATTGGAAAGGACGCTTGAATAGCCATTCTATCCAACTGTCTGCATATCCAGTGAGAACGTTGCGACCGTGAGCTTGATACCTGAATAAACGGATACCTGACAGCATGCCCCCCAGGCTGCTTTGTACTCGACCAAATGAAGCGGGACGTTTCCTAAAATCGCGATCCTTATACACACAGCTCCCGATATTGTCCGCATGCCTTGACAACTGTGTACAAAACATGTACATAGGATAAGCATTGTTGTCGTTACGTGTAGCGTCTGTTCGTAATGTGACACCTCGTTAATCCGAACGGTACCAGATGATATCGTCCGGATTAACAAGTGTCTAGATTAAGGAATAATGGGTAGGGAGTGTTTTTTTCTTTAAATATATCAAGATATTAAGAACAAGATCACCAGGGGCGGGGTAGCCATTTTACCAGGGTTGGGACTAACTAGCAAGCTCTATATACATTGGGATTGACGCTGGAACATTGGAAACAGACCAATGCCTATACCGGGGGTCATAAATGGTTTGAGGGTCATAAATGGTTCGCGTTTTATTCCGACTTCCGACATATGTTTAGATCTGTTCTAGCGTTTGTTTGTTGACGCATGCTTCAAGGTCTGACTGGGCTGTTAATACCGCTCATACCGCAATGCATGGCATGCATACTTCTGGTATTTCTGGTATCTCGGCCAAACGCCATATGACCAAATTGGGTGTCACATATTTCAAAATGCATGGAATTAGCCAGGTGTGGGTGATACAATGTGACCTGATTGATGTGATGTGTCCTTGTGATGTAATATGTCTAGGTGATGTATACACGCTGTCGGGGTCCTGTTAGGGGCTGTGTGATGTATGTTGATAAAAGATTCACCACACCGCCACAGACGCATTAAGGAGAGGTTAATCCTTTTGAGGATGGAAGTTGACATTGATGTCATTTCCATGACAACTGTTTTCTCTGACAACAGGTGGTGCCTCGAGTAATGTTTACCCTGTCACAGCTGGGACAATGGGTAGAAATATGTCAATTTAATTCAATTTGTGATGGAATATGGAAGAATATGTAATCCGCTCCAAACATGGAACTGTAGATAGACTGTTATATAAACGGTACCGATCACCAGTGACGAGCAATGTTTTTGACACAACATTTGTATAGTATTACGGCATTGCGGCTATACCAGGCTCACAAAGAAAGCACCTTATTGTATCTAATCTTCGTGCATAGGTTGGACGTATTCAGGCAAAATGCAGCACGGGTGTTCCTATTCATTTCGATTATTTACAGACCGCCGTCATATAGCTGGAATATTGCTGAGTGCAGCGTTAAACAACAAACCAACCAACCTATTCATCTGAATACATATTTGTATCTGTTGTGATTCATTGGTCAAAAGGGTACACTAGGTGGGTGATTAACCTATATACACGTATAGTGCTTCCGTATTAATGTTATGTCCGCGTCGTTATCAATTTTATTGGGTGCGTGTCAGACGTGTACCTCTGTAATTTGGTGAAACCCACGGACAGGGTGTGGTCGTGACACACCGAGGGTGAGTGAGTATGGTTTTACGCCGCTTTTAGCAATATTCCAGAAATATCACGGTGGGGGACGCCGGAAATAGGCTTCACACATTGTACCTATGTGGGGAATCGAACCCAGGTCTTCGGCGTGACGAGCTAACGCTGTAACCACTAGGCTACTCCACCGCCCCTGACACCGAGAAACATAATCAGGGCGAACCGGGATTCGAACCCAAGATCGTAGGATTCTTGCACGCCTTAGACGATAGGCCCACCAGTGCCCTCTAACACTTCTTAATAAATAAATATATTATTATAATGAAAACGCGAAAGTGTCTGATATGTAGTGAGTGTAGCGGTGTAAAATAAAAAAAAAATCAGCAAAAAAGGAAGAGAGAAATGGTAGAAACATGTGTTGCTGTCTATATTTCACACGTAGGACCAATAAAGTAGTATTCAACACATCAGAAAGTGACATTACACTCAGTGACGTATTTCGTTAATGTGAAGTATTTTTCTGGAAGAAAAAAAACCATATTACTTTGCATGAGTTTTTTTTCAGTGGTAAACGCCTACGACCTGCATCACTTCGGACTTTCCTCCCACATCAAGCTGACGCGCCGCGATATAACTGGAATACTGTTCAAATCGGTGTTAAACCAAACTCTCTCGAACAGCAACACACTTTTCAAAATTTCTATATGTTCTGTTTTTTACCACACTCATATTTCCATCAAGTCGAGTAATGACGTCAAGGCTTTAAGCCTATTGTCTCTCTGTTAACATAAATAAGGCATTATTGATTGTGCTAAAAGTCCCATAATGTGGTCCTTTTATAGTAAATAGTATTGGCATTCCGAGTCCCCGCACCATATGCCATTGCGAGTGTATTATAATCGATATTCCGCGAATATCTCATAATTTACTCCAGAGAGCCTATATCATAATGAACCCGTGCAGATCCGGGGTAGAATAGGTCCTTACCAACCAATGCTTGCCATAAAAGGCGACTTTGCTTGTCGTAAGAGGCGACTAACGGGATCGGGTGGTCAGGCTCGCTGACTTGGTTGATGCATGTCATCGTATCCCAATTGCGTGGATCGATGCTCACGATGTCAATCACTGGATTGTCTACTCCAGACTCGATTATTTACAGATCGCCGTCATATAGCTGGAATATTGCTAAGTTCGGCGTTAAACAACAAACAAACAAACAAAAAATATATCATTATGAAGAATGCATGGGCCACCCGACATTCTGAACATACAGTTATCTAATCCAAGACAAAAACGGATCCCCGATATTATATCATTTACACAACAAACGATTGTTTTCAGAACATGCCTCAATGCTGTCCTGCTTCTATATTGTTTTTGATGTGGATCGATGTCATTCTTTGTCGTACCGGCGTGTGTCGCTTTCATTTCAGCTATCTAGTTCTTATATGTTCGTTGTATCAGGACTGGGTGATGTGTTTGCGTGGTTTGTCCCACGTACTGTAGTAGACTGGGTGAGATCTGGAAGCGGTGTGTTTGTAAACACTGACATGTTTACCAGGTCGCAACGACCCAGTCCGCACCGCCGTCAACACGACCAGCGCGATGCCCGAGCAGCACAATGTTGTAGCCTTGTCTAGAATCTGGAGAGTTATTTTAGGATGTGAACAGAACATGTTAATTATGTTTGAGGAAGACATGATTCAAATGTATGTTTCTAATAATGGCAGAGTGTTTTTTTATGTCTGTTGCGAACACGTTTGGCCATTTTGAAGTCACGAAGTACAAATTGTATTTTGAGAATAACGATAATTTTGGACTCTCATCTGTCGATCTTCCCATTCTTTGGAATAATATCCCACCACCCCCACCCCTACCCCCATCTCTCGATATACACATCCCCTTGAATAATATCTCCGCTCTCTCATCTCTCGATATTCGCACTATTTTGAATAATATCCTACCCCTCTCGCATCTCTCGATCGTCCCACCTTTGCCGCGTTTTTTCATAATTCCATAATTCTCGTCGCTGCACAACTGAAACAATGCGACAACAAAGTTAACTCCCACCACTTCCAACGCTATTGAATAGGTTGCTGAAGACCAGTTCTAACCCGGATGTTCACGGGTCGTGCGTGGATCAAGGCGTACTCGGTACTGAAGATAACGGAGGGGTGACGTGTGCAATTGATTAAATACTGGTAAATACCCTAAGCGCTATCATTTGTAATCTCGTGCTGGAATATGTTTTGATGTGGATGTGGGTGTGGGTGTGGGTGTGGATAAGGACGTGGGCGTGGGCGTGGATCTGGATGTGGGTGTGGATGTAGGTATAGAAATCGGGTTACCTTCTCAACTTTGTAAGAAACTGGTCAAGATTTCGCCACGATATTTGTATTTTGGGACGTTTGGGAAAGCTGACTCGTTTCTACTCGTCTAACCATGCTGGGGAGGTCGGGTAACCTAGTGGTTGAAGCGTTCGCTCGTCACGCCGAAGACCCGGGTTCGATTCCCGACATGGGTACAATGTGTGAAGCCCATTTCTGGTGTCCCCCGCCGTGATATTGCTGGAATATTGCTAAAAGCGGCGTAAAACCATATTCACTCACTCACTAACTATGCTGAAAGAAGCCTAAGCTTAATTTTCTTAAAGTGGTGACGTCACTTCCGAAACGACACACACACACACACACACACACACACACACACACACACACACACACACACAAATATACTACTCGACGTCGGACAATGATTTTCTGATAGCCAGGTGGGGACTGACTGTGAAGGATTGTTCGGACATGTCATCCGAATAGTGTTCA